CGCTCTTTTTCAGTTTTTGGGCTCATCAATACAAACTAGTAGCAACTCCAGATCTGTGTACCTAACATTGAAAACATCACCTAGTGCAGTACCTTAATTATCTAATATTCACTAATTCAAGTTTAAAAAAAAAAAATCAGTGTCAATTTTAAGTACACAGGTGGTACCTCGTAATTCTGACACAAATCTGTAATTCTTCCAGAACTTTTTAATTAATTCAGATCAATTTGCTGATCAAGTTCATAACATGTTCCTGCAAATGGCTGCAGTGGGATAAGTGAACAGGCAACACACTGCAGCCCTGGGTAGAGAGCAGAAACAGTGCAGAAGGAAGGAAAAAAAAAAAATAAGAACTCCTTACCCTGTTTTTTTCTGATGAAGCTGCTGTTGCTTTATCACGAAACTACAAACTGCGTTACATGTGAATAGTTTCTTGCATGAGTATCCAGCACAAGCTTATTTGAATAATTACTACTTAGTGTAAGCAAAGGTTGCAAAATCTGGTCTTGTGCTTCATATGATAGTAAAGTCCTTTTGCCCCACATCTAAGGTTGCAGATTGAAACGTCAAAAAAAAGACAACTTCTATTAATCCCTGTTCAAATGGTAAATTTCAGAAATACAAATACAGAAGAATATAAAATTTAGCATAATCTGTCATAATTTTAAAATTTAATTGAGGGGGGAAATACTGTAAAGATATCTGAAATGTATCACATGCCAGAAAAAGAAAGAAGTAAAAAATACTTAGATCTGCTTTTTTCCTCCTCTTTTTTTAACAGCAGATTCTCAGAAACCACTTCTATCATATGCAAGCGTTTTTTAGTTTTTTTAAGTGAGAAATGCAATTTCAGGGAGCTACTTTCAAATAGATTTCAAAGTTAGACCCAAAGGCTTGCAAAACCCTACTCTCTGTTTGAAAGTCAGCCAAAGAATAACTGGCTAGTTTTATATATAATCAGACCCTGTGAAAATAAAATTCGTATTTGCCTGCACTAAATTTAGGTTAAAAAGTAAACAGGCTAAGGGATAACTCAGTGACAACTCTTTGACTGCAGATTCCAAGATAACCATGTGATATTGCAAAATATCCTTTGTTCAACTGAAAGCTACTCACGTACGCACACAGGAGGAGTATTTTACCACAACCAGCACAGGTTTTCCAAGACTCCTTGAAAACAGGCTCACTACATTTTACAAAATACAAGCATTTGTCTCCTTTTTAGCA